CCAAAATTAGAGAATTAAAGATATCATTACAAAATGAACAAATCTGAGAGAGGTCCACATGTAGTACCTATATATGTAATATCAAAGCAATTGCACTTGCGGTTTTTAACAAGAAGTCGAAAATATCACTTTTTACCAAAAATGACAAAAATATTCACCAAAATTAGAGAATTAAAGATATCATTACAAAATGAACAAATCTGAGAGAGGTCCACATGTAGTACCTATATATGAAATATCAAAGCAATTGCACTTGCGGTTTTTAACAAGAAGTCGAAAATATCACTTTTTACCAAAAATGACAAAAATATTCACCAAAATTAGAGAATTGAAGATATCAACATGAAATGAACAAACCTAAGAGAGGTCTACCCAAGGTACATATACACCAAGTATCAAAGCATTCAGGCTTGTAGTTTTCAAGAAGAAGTCGAAAAAGTAAAACATTGACACGGACGACAACGGACGACGACGACGGACAATCACTCATATGATAAGCTCCGCTCGACAAAGTCGACAGCGGAGCTAAAAATAAATTAATTACTTTCTGTGGTTTTAAAAATTGGGCTCTTTAAGTATTTTGCTAAAGCTATATTATTCTCCATAATCTTTTTAAATATGGAATTCACATCCATTGTGTAAATATTTATTGAACACTCATCAAACAGTTTTTTTCTTTGTTCTATATAGCCAGTACAAAATAGCAGGAAATGTTTTTCATCTCCTAATGCTTTAGTGTTACATTTATTACAGTGTCTATTTTCTAATTCTATTTTGGGCTTTGTTCTTCTACCTAATTCTATTTCTAAGTTGTGGTCACTCAGATGGAATTTTGAAAGCATTTTCCTGAGGCTGAAATTTTAAATGTTTTGCAAATAATTTTCCATATTATAACTTACTTTGAATAGTTTGTATGTTCTCAGTTTTGTTCCCCTATTTTCATTGGTTTCACTGAAATTTAGTTCTTCTCTCCATCTTTGAATATAAATCTCAGATAGTCTGAGTTTTACTTCTTTTAATATTTGATTCCAATTTTCCATATTGTGATCATTTTTTATTTTAATTAGATCATGTCCCAGTGTAGCAAATTAATATTCCTTACCCAGTTTGAATTAAT